CAACAATTTCAGTTTTACCAGAATCACTAGAGTAGATTTTATGGTTAATGACTCCCCGCAAAACCACCCCACAACAGTGTATCCATGACCACCATAATCTTGTATTTATTGCCTCACCCCTGGGAACAACTTTACTAGTTTAAAAAGGTTTTTACGACATGTTGACTGATGGTTAGACGATACAGACATAAGACTGTGAATAAACTTAATAAATTATAAATTAACTTCATAATATTTTATTAGACTGTTGACATTATTGTTAATATGTCACCATGTCAAACCATCCTCAAGTAGAAAAGTAGGCTAACCTCACCAAGTAGATCTGAATCTAAAAAAATGGGTGCGAAACATTTCTTTGTTTGTGAGAAAACTTCGGGTGTGACGGTGAATTGAAGAGCAGCAGGTCCAATGTTTAAAGGGACACTATACAATAAATACCATAATACTATAAAGTATGCTTTTTACATTTATGTATCTACTTGATTAAACTGAATTTATTTAAAAGGGTTAATTAAAAACGGAGAGTACTAATTATTAATAAATTAAGCAGTTTGACCTAGTTTTGGAGTTTGACCATATAATGGCTCGATATTATTAATTGAAAGAATACGTAGGAGACATATTTCTCTACAATCCGTACAGTAGTTTCCTTACAACTTCCTAAAAACATAACGAACACTAAGTAAGTAAGTAAGTTAACTTACATAATTTATATGTAATAGTTTGGTGTTAAAGAATTGACGACTGATTTTTTTTTGTTTAAAATTTCAAATACGTTAATAGACACATTTCTCTAAATTTTGGCGTACAGTTTTCATAAATCGGAGCAAAATTTTTTTTTTTTTCGAGCTATACAAAAATGCCCTTTAAGGAGGTGGGGATTTTTCGACGCAACCGTACCTTAAAAATACGGATGTTAAAATACTCTGCCATAATCGCACAGGCGCAGACTCTGTGATGGTGTCGCAATTTTTGTGCATTTTGAAATAGGGCTGTATATTACAAGATGGATTAATCAAATTTTTGAAATAAGAGTAGAAACAGGTACCTAGATGGTAAATCTTATAAACTTCATCATATATTCGCTAAGTTGGTCATTATTTACATTTTAAGTCTTTAGAACATTGATAATCAGATATTTCTCGCAGACGACATGACATTACACTGCTTTGGGTCAGAAATATATATCTGCTTTTGATGCTAAAAGTTTCCTCGCATCCGCTGGAAGCGAACGTTAGCTTGTCATCTACCTACCTACCTAATGTTTCCTCGTAACCAACTAAGAAAGCTTCGATTTTCAATAAAATATTCAAGGTGCATGTATAACATATACAAAGATTGAAAGATTGACATCGACAAGCTAGTGGTTATCGTTTATTCAAGAACAAAATCGATTGACAGAGACAATATTGATAACGTTTAGACAAAAGTTTTAATACACATCCCAATGGGGGTTCATCTGAGAAAAGGAACTTCTATTAACCTAGTTAGTCTTATTGATTAGAGCTTATCTCTTAGTTAATAGAAGTTTCGGATATTATAGTCACCACGAGGAAAGTTTGTTTGGAAATGGAAATCAAACTTTGAATTGGCAAGAATGCAAGATAAATTTGAAACGCAATTCAATACAAGCAATGGCAGCTATGGATTGTGGTCTCTTTGAAGGCGATGCTTAGTTGAAAGTCCCGATTGAAGGTGGGCATCGATCAGAATTCTCGTATGTTGATGCCGTTGATGCAATTATCAAATGCCTTATTTCCACATGAACATATAGGTTAAGGTGACAGTGTAAGTAAAATGAATGTAATTGAGGCGCCTAGAGCAAGTTCAGCAACAACCTTTTATTCCACTGAAAGCCATTGGATTAACCTATATTGTGTTTTTGTAATTTCCCAAAACAATCAGAATGATATAGGATACGCAAAAAGCTGATTAGGGCCAATATCATAATGGCTTCAATTGCGATTTTCTTCGTTGTACCTGCTTGTAGGATATCGGGTTCGTACTTTAGAAACCTTAATTGGAGATTTACGACCTACTTTTTCCACTTATTTCGTGAACGAATGCCGTGAATTCAGCTTGCAGTTGACAATTTTGCCAAGATTGTCGCATTAGTATAAGCGAGAATATTGTATCATTCAGCCTTTGACGGATCTGATAGTCAAAAGGAAGGTCATTAAAGTGATGCCATGGATATTCCTTTTTCAAACCAGCATCTAATCCATTGTTTCTTGCATAATGAGCTTCAAGTCTAATATTTGCTTAAGATTTTATCTTGATCGACAAAGGATGTTTATTATTCAAGCACCCAGAGTAGCTTTATTCATGTTACTACCGGAAAATTGTCTGTCGTTATAGCGAATAAAAGCTGTCGATAATGCCACGAGTGTCTGTATATAGGTTGTTCACTAATACACTCGGATGAAAATTTTATGTCCATAGTAAAAAGTTTTAAACAGATTGAACAGGGGATATATTACCTGAAGGTTAGTAAGAAAAGTTTTTTTTTAATTGATCAAGATTTTAAGATATATTGTACTTGGTGCCACGGGGTGCAGTAGCTCTGCTATCAGAATCAGACCCAGAAGTCAGTCACAAATGAAATTGTGAGCATCTTATAAAATTCATATATTCGCTAAGTTGGTCATTATTTACATTTTAAGTCTTTAGAACATTGATAACAACAGATATTACTCGCAGACGACATAAGGTCACAAATGAAATTGTGACTGACTCCAGTAGATTGTGACTGACTTTTGCAACTAGTTGAAAACAATTTGCTATGCAATAAATCGATGTACTATTCAGTTATTTACGTATATTACATATATTAGACAGATCATATTTATATGTATTTAGCTAACTGTTAAATTAAGGATCTTTCAAAGAAGATATGCTTTAATTTATGATGCAAATAGCACCAATAGTCTAATACTACACATTCAATGCATGTTTAACAATTCCAACTCGGTAAAGGACACCTTCTCTTTAGGACTCTTAAACTTAACTTTCCTGAAAACTATGCCAAACGTGAGCACCATGTTTTATTAAACAATTACTTGCATAAGAGTTTTCAACTAGTGAATAAAATACGACTGACGATTTCGGGCCTAATCAGAATTTGTCTTGTATTGAGGTGAGGGAGGTTTTCAGTAAACACCAATTTACCTATACATCAACTGCGTTATCAAATTACCGTTATAGTGTTATTGTTCATAAAATTCGATTGAGAACTCTACTGATGGATTAGTTTCTTGTGTTATGTCAACACAATTATTGAGAATCACTAATCACCAACGTTGTAAGGGGCAGTATGCAAAATTTGTATCATTAGAAACGTTGCTGATTATACTCGAAAAGATATCTAAAATATGTTATTTACTTCTATGCATATTTTTGATCAACCTGAATTTGTTTTTAAAGGTGTGGTTCATAACGGTTTTTGGTTTTATAATGGCTCGATATTTTATATTTGTAACCTTCAGAATAAGTAGGATTTCTCTGCAATTTTGCGTTGATATTAGTAAAATTCGTACCTTATTTTTCCAACATCAACCAAAAAACATAACGACTTCTAGAAGTTACGACAAGACACTTTAGATTAAAACTTTCTGATAAGTTACGGGACACTATAAAATTCTCTAGTTTTCATAAATTTGAGCAAAATATAAAAAAAATCATTTTTTTTTACCAATCATACTTTAGTCTCAGAAACTGGAATTATTTAGCTGAGCTAAGCAGTAAAAGTGATCACAGCTCACCATCGAAATTTGAGACTTCAAATCCATGTGTGTCCAGAATTATCTGCCTCTTTGGATGTTATTGTATAAGATACTCTGTGATATAGAGAAAAGACATATATAGAAAGAGTGAGTAGAATTCCAAGTTTGAAGTATTTTTAAAGGAATTATGAGATTTTCGTACATTTCTAGACCTTCTGAAGACTATTTACACATTCAGGTCTAAAATAAACCCCCCAAAATGGCGCACCTGTCCCTATAAAGAGAAAATTTGATTGGATAAACGTTCTTTATGAGCCTGAACATGTGACGCTTGCAGTTCTGTCGGATCATATAGACGCCAAAAATGGAAACATTTAAATCTGCATTTAAATTAGATTGAGGTTGTTTTTCAATTTCATTGCGATACACTAAAAAAAATAGGAAAATGTCAAAGGTACTGTATCGAATATTGGTCTATTAAACTCTTATTAAGCCAAGATGATTAACAATCAAATAAATCTATATTCCTTTATTCATACCAAATAACTTGTTCTGACTTCATTCTTACATTAAACTACTTACTAAGTGGCTTTTTAAGTTCGGCGACGAATGATATTCTTTATTCAGCTCACGAATGATTTGGTTCGTTAAGTTTTTATTGTCGGTTCTACTTCAATTGAACACGTATGAGATTTTGAAAGTGGAAATTTAACGCGGTTTACAAGTAACTAGGATCTTTTGAATTGTTATAAAGTGTGTTTTCCACAACCTTAATGAATTTTTATTCAAAGCCAGTGACGAGGTCTACCCTGGTTTGGCATCAGTTATTTGTTTTACAGATGGGGTATACGATTAGTGAAATTGATATCAGTTTGCTCAACTATGAAGTTGATTTTTTCGAAGCTTTAAAGTAACTTTGATTCATTTCATGCCTTCCATTGTATGGGAGGCTAGTCATGGAACTTAATTACGGCCATACGTATCACTTATTAAAATTAAATTCGAACTTTAGATTCGTATGAAATAAAAGAAAGAAAAAAAAAGCGAAGAGTGTGACGGACTAGTATTGAATATAATGAATTTTGATATCCTTCTAATTTTCACCTTATCAGATGCAAGATAGTGTAATGATAAGGACTGTTATATCGAAATCGGCAAATACTAACACCTTTATTGGAATTCTTGGGCCTATATATAAAAGTTAATTTGATAATTCTTATTTTATTTTCAAGAATGGCGTGAAGAAATATAGTTAATTCTAGCAGCTGATGGATCAAAATGGAGTTTCAAATATTTTTAACGATTTTCAACTTTATTATTATATTTCAACAAGGTAAGAAAAATTCTTAAAAAATCCGAAGAAAAATTAAAGGAATATATCGTTAGAGTTGAATTACATCCATTAGCCCAATGAGACGCATTCATGACGCACAATAGATCGTGAATTATATCTTCAAGAAGACGTATTCATGTTTTGTTAGTGAACAAGTATTTTGTTCAAAACTATAACCATCAATGCATGGATTTGTTCTTCGCGTGATTACATTTAACCGTTTCCATATTGAATAGCCCGTTAGCCCTATACAATTAGAACGACATAATAAAATTTGGCGTTTCTTTTAAATTCGTTATCAGTTTTTATAAAGGAAATCTTTTCTACCTTTCAGTGCCGATGTCCTATGGGGGCGAGTTTGTGTTAGTTTGTCCTGAAGGTGACACTGAGCCTGCAACGGAGTACATGCTGTATATAACACTTCCTAGCAACAATGCCGAAATCTATGTAACTGCGCCTTTACTCGGATTCGATTTCGGCATGTTCAACAACGTTTCTCAATCTGAAATTATAGAAATATCGTTGTCGTCGACGTATATGTTGTCTGGTACTGGAATATCGAATAATACGATTTACGTTACGTCTACGGCTGACGTGTCCGTGTATGTGATAGCTCGAAACGGTGGCGACGGATATACGCCTATACCATTCCAGTCTTTAGGAAAGGACCACTATATAATGACCCACTGCGACGAATATAATCCCTGCCAGTTTAGTGTCACTGCTGTAAATGAGGATGTTCAAGTGGAGATAATCCTTGCCATTTCTAACGGAGACTCCGTAACTTTGAACGCAGTCACTTATCAAACCGGTGACATTATATCACTATCGATTCTGGGGTATCAAACGTTACAGATACGTTGTAACTCGGATTTAACCGGAACGTTGGTGATTTCTAACAAAAACGTGTTCGTAGTTGGAGGAGGGGCGGTAGGAATGAACATCAGCGAGCGCCACCTGGTGATGGAACAGATCCCCCCAGTGCAAACATTCGGAAGAGAGATTTTGACAATTCCATCGAAATATACACAGAGTATTGGGGATAATTATTGTTTTTTATCCAGTCAACCACAGACTACTATTCAGATCGGTGGCGTAGTACGGAGATACCTTAAAACAGGCGGAGAATGGTTCACTATCCGTCTGAACGGTACACAGTTCATCTTCGCCGATAAACCTATTTTGGTTATGAGAATAACTCAGACCGGAACGGGTGATCCAATTACTGAATGGTCGACAATGTTAGTAATGATTCCAAAAGATCAGTTTCTAGTCGGTGGCACTCAAATAGTGCTGTTTCCGGGCGCTCAAGCCATATCAAGTTTGGTTATTTCTGTGGTGCGATCTCTGAACGACACTCTGTATATGAACACTGATTCTCAAACGGATTTTACGACCATACCAGGCGATGAATTGTTCATTAAATATACGTCAACGATTTCGCCGGCCGACAAACAGCAGGTGTCCAAGTCTAACGTTCGAGGCATGGCTGTCTACTATCAAGTCGAAGCTAATGGATATTCAGTAAGCCTAATTGGAGCCATGAACTTTATCATTACCTTCTCGGTAAGTCACTTCTGTGGAATCATTATAACATAATTCAGATCGACACATAGGATACTATAGTTCTTGTGTGATGTTACGACCCTTTCCCTTGATCGAGTATTTAAATGCTTCGTCTGATACCACATCCCACAGGAACTCAACACAATGACAGTTAACAATTGCATGATATAATATGTCCACATTTCACAGTGTTGATGTTATCGATTATTCTTCTATATTCAAAATAATCGCATTATGTTTTATGTTTAGGACTGTGTAGCGTCTGATACCAGTATAGGTGATATGGTGGACAATGACTGTGATGGTTTTATTGATGAGGATGTCTGCCCTCATGATGGGGCACCAGCAGGTTTGTTATTATTCTTATGTGAAATTAAAAACAGGACACTGAAATCTTGACAATAAAAATCTAAAAGCAATTATTTAGAAATGTTTTGAGAGATAACAGCGAAAATCTTGAAAAGATGAGATTTTGCTCAGAAAGTGTCAGAAAACAAATATTTCTCTCTCTATCTGTTACAATCTGTAAGATGTGTAGTTACACGATGAAATTCAGTATATTGTTACATTCGACAAGACATTGTTATACGCCAGCCTTTATCATCTGCATTTAAGGACTAGTGTACTCTTGTTCACTAAACTGAAGAGTTATTTGGGACACCAAAAAGCGTGATTTATTGGAGGATAGATACTTCTTGAATATTTATTACCCTAAACGTTAAAATGTGAAATCAATCTTTTCCTGTTAATAGAGTTAACCAAGTCAAAAATATTAACTCGATATCCATTTCGGAATGCACAAATAATAATGATTGTTTGGTTGATATGTACTCTATTTCAGACTATGTTGGAAAAGACTGTCAGCAAATTGTTTCAGGTAAATCTAACTTTTGTTTTATTGAAAGTAATAGTAGAGTTCTAACTCATGTTCGATCGTCTTGATTTTCACTCCAAATCTCAAGTATTGTGTAGGTCAATATTTAGGAGATTTCTATGACGTCATTGATCGTAGAATATAACTATTTAAATAGAATATCTTGATCGGAAACATGACAACTGAATGAATATTACTGTAAGATATGTCTTCTTGTGCTGCCAATTATAAGATTTGACACATTGTCCTTTTCAGGTGAAAGTGATTCGTTTGGTTTGAGATTTATTGCCGTTTTTCCAGAGCAGATGCAAATTGATTTAACTGGAGTCACATCACTTGTGTTCTCCACGATCTCCACAGAAGAAGTGACGGTTAGGATTACGACACCACGTAACACGTCCATTTTAAACGTTCAGATACGGATGAACGTAACCACAGAGCTGGCAGCACTGCATGATCTAGAACTGTCGGGCTCCGCTATATCGGATAAGGTTATGCTTATCGAGGCCAGTCATGAAATATCGGCGTATACTATTCTGGATACGAAGGCTGTGTATAAATCAAGTGGTGCAGCAAGACTCTTACCAGTGGAAGCTTTAGGTCAGGAGTATTACGCTGTGACGGTTTGTGAATCAAACTCATGTCAGATTCAAATTATAGCAGCACATCCCTTTACAGTGGTTCAAGTCAAATTGAAGCTTCAAGACACTTCTCTCACTCTAGAATATGGCGGGAAAACGTATCACCACGGAGATCTCATATCAGAATATCTGCATCAATATCAAGTTTGGCAACTTCAGGCACCCACGATAGATATCACCGGATCTCGTATTACGTCTAATAAACCAATAGCTGTCTTCAGTGGTGGACAATATACACAATTTCTAACCGGGCAACAGGATGACCTTTTCATCGAACAACTACATCCGGTAAAGTCTTGGGGCAAAACATTTGCGCTTGTTCAGGCACCTAAGGCGGCATGCTTAAATCTTGCATCTAGAGAATGTGATGATATAATTCGACTGATCAGCCATCAAGCAAACACAATCATAAATATCAGATCTCATATAAGCAGTCAGGAATATAGTCTTGAGTACCCTGGCCATTGGGTTGACGTAGACCTAAGGAATTGGGCGTATATTATAAGTTCGAAGCCTATTTCAGTGACACACTTGTTAACTGGTGGAATATATTACGATGGTGGAATGACAGTGGTGTCACCTATCAGCGAATTCGGTCAAAGGGACCAAATAACAATTTTGAATATTGCTAACCATGAGGTAGAGTTGGTGCTCATGACAGAAAATAAATATCAAAACGAAATTTTACTTAATGGCGGCAACATGGTCTTTACAGACACTTTGGACGTAAATATGACGTATTTCAACACTCCTGTGACGCCAGGCTCTAGTGCCGAAATAACTTCCCAGAATGCAACAGCTGTATTTGGTGGTTTCATATTTTCATATAAAACGGGAGCTGCAAGCTATTTTTTTTCATTGGCATCACATCACAGTTTTATTAATATTGTAAGTAAAATATTCTTCAAGCTACTGGCTTAACGATTCGAATACCAGGATTTTTGTTTTGGAATCGACTTGCACACAATACTTGCTGTGAATGTGTGGCTGGTTGTTTGAAATCATCTTCGTTTATACCACCTCCACGTGTCAATTGACATTGAAAGTACCGTTGTTTATTTAGTCTCAGCCATTTGACTTCGTATGATGAGGCAAATTGTGTATTATTCTCATGATCCGACTCGTTCTGTATTAGAGAAGTGTGGAGATTTATTACTAGATGCTTGATATGATATGACTGGTCACAGTGAAACACAGTAGAAATAAATTATGTTGTCGGACATGTTGAAGGGTCGATGAGCCTCATACACGTCATCTCCTGGTGTTGCTTGCTTTGGAAGATTTGATAGCAAACATAATCAAGTTCAGAATGATAGTTCGTGGCATTAAAATCACTACCTCGTCAATTCACACAGCAATGGGACGTAAAACTCCATTATCTGTCATTTCAATTTCAGGGCTGTGAGATTAGTGAGGATTCTGGCGGAGATGGCCAAGATAATGATTGTGATGGTAGAATAGACGAAGAAATCTGTGACCTGACAATCACACCACAAGGTAAGATCTGGCCACGTATTCTCAAAACGATCCTAGTGCAAGGATGTCCTAATTTCTTATCTTCTAACATTGACTCTAGGACATCCTAGCACTAAGATCGTTTCGAAATAGAATGGAATGAATGATGAAAGGGGTGAGGGTCATAATTTTTTTGGTCTATCATAACTGAACTTTAATTGGTTTTTATATTCAGCCAACAAAACATGAGTAAATATTTACATCTGTAAATATAATGGTGCAAGATTTATCATCCATACAGCTCAGACTGCACCCTTGAGAGCAATTTGCATCCGAAAGCATAATACCTATTAAAAATAGTATAAGGTTAACAATACAGATTATAGAATGGGCTGTTTATTTTCTCGTTTCAGATGACGATTTAGATGGTTTAATTGACGAGGATTGTATCGAAATAATTCGTAAGTTGAAAGAATCTTAATTGTTTTATCCTTCTGTAGGCCGGCCTACAGACGATTTATATTAATTAGATTTGATTTAAAACTATCACTCAAGGGAAGACTTATCTCGACACAGTGTAGGGTTAAGACAAATGCAAAGGGTCGCTCAACCTGCTACCGGTTTAAATATAGACCCATTACTCTTTCATGTAACCTACATAGTAAAATTGAATTGGTTACAGCTTAGCCTATCATCACAACTGAAATGCAAAAGTAAGTCTTATTCTTCTTCGTTTTTCATTTTACAGTACCTAGCTCAACCAGCTCAACCATTCTATCAAGTGCAATGGAATCCACCGTCTTAGAAACGTCTGCAAGTTCAGAATATTTATCAGCTTCGAATTCAGGGTACACAACTCTTGTACCAACGGACAGCATATTTCAACATACGATGTCAACCATGACTCCAGCTTTGAAGTTAGAAACGTCATCAGTTCTTGTGTTGACGCAAGACGACTCAGTGTGCACGTGTGGATGTGTGACGTGGTCCATAACAACCAGTTTAGATGCAGAAAGTTTAGTGGAAGTCACCGAGAGTATCAAAACTGAACTCATTGTAGATTCCACAGAGATGTCGAAAACTGTGAGAAAACGAACCAGCGCTCCAGATCCACGACCTTCTGCACAAACTGTCGGCTATTTCGGTGTAGCCATTATTTCTGGAATATTCATTGGGATTTTTATATTAGACGCGGGTGCTTTATTTACTGACTTGAAGATGCTGGTGCACGTTTTAAAGGAGGCAAAGCGTAGATGATAATCAGGCCCTTAGACTTGACTTGATTGTACCGAGGGGCAAGTAATATATCCCTAGGGCTAATGAATGTTTAGTTGCAGTAATAGAATTGGTCGGTTGTGAGAATTTTTAAGGGTGGGGGGTGCCTTCTTTTTTTTCTGCACCTTCCACCCGTTGCTAAAAATAATCATTCCGATTCAATACTATTGCTTTGCCGTCTTTGTCTATATATGACGAACCGAGACTACACCCTACATTTCGCACACGGATGTCATGTGACATGACCTGAGCAATCTTTGGGTCACTTTACGCGATATTTTAATAAGTTATTTTATTTATGGCGGCCATATTTTGTATTTTTCCTAAAGCTCAAATTAAAGTCCTTGGAACGAAACGGGGCATTGTAGGTCTCGTTCTGAAGATTCTACGAAGTTCTATACCAGTATTTGTTATATAACTTTAAGTATAGGTCTAACTCAAATTCCACCTTAAAATTGGGACACCTAACAAATGGGCTTTAACCGTTGTGTTTGTTGGTGATTCAAAACTTCTATTAATATAATAATATATGGAGAAACGAACGATTCTCAACAAATAAAAGAGATTGAACGCATCCTTGCTACTGACCTGTAAAATATATGACCCCACTACCTTATTTGGACACGTAACTCTTTTATTTGTGGAAAAATTAGTTTAAATGATTAGCATAAGGAAACAAAAACAAATGGAGGATAGGTCTATCCGTCGATTCCTGAATCGATTGAATAATGGAAGTGAAATATATAGACATTTGCCACAAACTTCTGTGATATTTTATCTGTAGTAATATTAAGAATTTATTGTAAATAAATTAAGATTATAAAAGCACAATGTAATAATAGTATGATAAACAATAAGTTGGACAGTGAACTGCAATATTGTTCCGAGAAAGAGATGCTTTGCTACTATTTGGTACTACGTGTTTGTAGTTCTGAAAACATCTTCTTCAAGAGGAACAGTGGAACTAATCAACTTCGAGAAAAGAATCTATGGGTAGTAGATGGGAAAGTGTTTCGGGGAGTGAACATTATCTTATTCCACAAGGTATAGACTATACAGAAAGAAAGAAAGCAAAAGAAAGAAACAACTAACTATATTTTACAAGAATAACAACTTAGGTTCACAGTTAAAGATCCTTTCTACCAGCTGATCCTTGGCCAAACCGCTTGGTATAGATCTTTCCCGGATTATCTCTACCCATTTGCATTTGGGTCGACTGGAATAATGAGTGACTTATTAAAGGTCATTGGACTTTCACATAGAACACATAGCTTCGAGTAACAAAGTCGTGGTTGTTCTGGGCAAGAAAAATAAAATGTTAACAAAAGGCCATTAATATATAAACAAAGCTGAAATAAGGCCACGGTTCCCAACTAGGGACTAGGGTGTCAGGGGTGTGGCCAACTGGTGTAGGAAAAAAAAAAATATTTTGAGTTGAGAGAGTACCTCACATCATCACATGCTGCAAATGTGGATGAAACAAAATTTTGGGTGTGCGAAAGGTCCACGTTATTGAGTGTGAAGGTTGAAATAGGTTGGGAACCACTGAAATAAAGGGAAATAATCGCTGTATCACTGAAAATAACTCAATATCAACTATACATTTCAATTTAAAAATAAACTGTTGTAGGCCCTTTAATTTCTTATTTGTTCCAAAAGAAAGGCATGGAAAGTCTACAAGAAGGGTAATAGGTAGAGAAAATATCTATCACCTGGTAAATCAATGACGTAGACCGATCTCTATCTGCGAGTCAACAATAAACACAACTTAGCTACTTTGAATGCCGTTTGGAGCGTTGGTACTTTACATGACGTCATTTGCTTGGTTACGTGGTTAATGGGGATGCGCGTGCAATTCTCGATCGGCATGGAAATAATCCGATGACCTTGAATAAGTCATCTGCATTCTGCACTCATAATCCTAGTCAACCCAGCTGTAAATAGGTAAGGATAATCCGGGAAAGATCAATGCCAAGGGGTTTTGCCAAGAACTAGCTGGTAGAAAGGAAGCTTAATTGTGAACCTAAATTGTTATAGACATACGCTAGGCTACATGTAAAATATTTAGATGTTTCTTTCTTTATTTTTGTATTTCCGTAAAATGTCAAATTGGCCTCATTCAATTATATTTAAATCAAGCAACTATTATGAAAAAGTCTACAAAATTTGGATCTCAGAGGCTGAACTCTTATTTCATGCTATTTGCATATGGATGGTATATTTGATCGTGATATTGTAAGCAGGGTTAACATGCGGTGTTTCGATGTTTAACATGGTTTCCTAAAGGTTACTACTTGATCCCATCATTCGTCTGCTATCCGAGATTTTAGATTCAATACACCGTGTTTCTCGTAACCACGCATAAAATCGCGTTAAATCAACAGCTATAATACCGGATATCAGAAAGGTAACCAACAACACCGACGTAACTCCCAAGTTTGTTTCTGATTGGATAACGTTTTCTGAGCTTTGTTTCTTCCTGATAGTTTGCGACAATGTTGCTTTTTCAACTTTTAAAAACTTTTTTTGATTTTCCAAGAGAGTCGATATTTCCGAGTTATTTAAATGTTTCGCACATGGACATGCACAAATACGGCTTATGTTTTTCTTTAATTCAAATGTACTCACTGTCGTTGTCACGAGCTGGACTGTTGAAACAGAGTGACTACTTCTCGTTGTCGAAATGTAACTAGATGTTTTATCCTGCAGTTTCGTTGTAGATGTCTCGCCGCGAGGGCCAGTTGAGGACAAAGTTGTTTCTTCTGATGGTTCAGTATTTAGATGATTGAAGTATGGAGTACTTTGATCCGCAGTTGTACTTAAACCATCATCCGTTATTCTTTTTACTCCAGTTGTTGTAGTAATCGAGGAATCGGAGATTTCATCTTGCATTTCCGTTGTGCTATACGATCCGGTAGAATACGTCTTTTCGTTCTCAGACGTAGCATCCGAATCATCTTTTGTTCTTTGTTTTTCGGTTGTCGTCATGGTCGGATTCCGGTCGGATATATAATCTCCAGTCTCCGTTGTGCTATAAGATTCGGTCTCTCCGTCTACGATCGCAGTCGTAGCATCCAAACTATCTTTCTCTGTTCTTTGTATTTCGGTTGTCGCCATGGTCGGATTCGGGTCGTATATATAATCTCCAGTCTCCGTTGCGCTATAAGATTCGGTCTCTCCGTCTCCGATCGCAGTCGTAGCATCCAAACCATCTTTCTCTGTTCTTTGTATTTCGGTTGTCGGCATGGTCGGATTCGAGTCGGATGTATAATCTCCAGTCTCCGTTGTGCTATACGATTCGGTATCTCCGTCTCCGATCACAGTCGTAGCATCCAAGCCATCTTTCTCTGTTCTTTGTATTTCGGTTGTCGCCATGGTGGGATTCGGGTGGGATATATAATCTCCAGTCTCCGTTGTGCTATAAGATTCGATCTCTCCGTCTCCGATCGCAGTCGTAGCATCCAAACCATCTTTCTCTGTTCTTTGTTTTTCGGTTGTCGCCATGGTCGGATTCGAGTCGGATGTATAATTCCCAGTCTCCGTTGTGCTATACAATTCGGTATCTCCGTCTCCGATCGCAGTCGTAGCATCCAAACCATCTCCCGTAGCTATTTTTGTTGATTTAGTATATTTACTGGATGTAGACGTTGTGCCTAGCGTTTCCGTGCTGCTGGATACCGTTTCAGACGTTATGTCATGTGTTGAAATTGTTGTAAATTCATTGTCAAAACGCCCATCCTGTTTAAAATCCCCGTTGGTGGTTGTAGATGTACCATCTTGTGCTGCGTCTATGACTTGAACAGAGTGATCATCTTTATGAGTTGGTTGCGTATCGCTTACGGCTGTCGTAGTTGTATCAGCAAGGGATGAGTCAGTTGTCGTATTTGCATAATTGATACCACCATCTGAATTTATATCTCCGTTGTTCTCATTTGAAATTAACGAATTATGATTTTTTGTGGTCTGTGGCGTCGTTAGGGTACTTGTGGCGACCTCTGTTGTCGTAGTTATGGATACTGAAATGGACAAATTTATAACATACTCGTGCAGGTTACAGTGGTGTTTTGTTTATCCAGACTGTGCATACATGGACATTAATGATTGGTTAAAAGTCTTAATTATTTGCAATAAGAACACAATGATATGATGAAGAATACATGATAATTCATTAGAAACACCAATTAATCAAATAGTCGGCTTAATTTGACTCTAAAAAATAAGGAAACCCATCTTTAATATGATATATATAATATATTTCATAATAGAGTGAAATCTTACTTTGTGTTTCACAGTGTTCTCCTGTATATTCTGAAGGACAATGACACTTGTATGTTTTTAGATCACTCAAACACCAGCCACCGTTCATACAATGGTGATTTTCACACATGTCTCTATCTACAAATATGTAAACGATAAATTTCCATTATTATACACATATTTAATATTGTCATTGAAATGAAATGGATACGCTCAAGTGGCGTCTGTAAGAGGCTGGGCTCCCTTAAACTACGGCTTCCCGGTTCCAGCCCCAACTTTCAAATTTCTCACTAATACTCACGGTCAAAACAGTCGAACTCCGTCGTCTACTAGGCAATTAGATCTGATGCCATGAACAGTGAAATTTTTCATAACTGGATTAAGCATTAAATTATGACATTGCTTGACTTGTTTGCTGATCAAAACAACCTTTAACCATACCACCATGCTCGATGTCAGGTTAAAATACGATTTGGGAGTTTCGTTTCCTGTTTTTCTTCTTTAAATCACGATCTTCAAACTTTTAACCACTAGCGTAGTTTGATTTATTTAAAGGGACAGATGTCTTTTCTATATATAGCAATGTCTCAAGGAAAGACGACTCGTTTCAAACGCGGATAATTCTGGATACACATGGATTTGAAGGTTCAAATTTCGACGGTGAGCTGTGAACACTATTACTAATTGGTTAGGCTAAAAAAAATCCTGTTTCTGAGACTAAGGTA